CAGGGTTTCCAAGGCTGTAAATCTTTACAGGAGCAGAATGCCTCATCTTTCTCCCGCAGAACCACTGGTAGTTTCAAACTGCTGACGTTGAGGTTGGCAGCCTGATTTGTAACCACTATGCTACCAGAGCTCTGCATCTATCTATATATACCATATATATTCAATCCAGATATAGAAATATCCAGAGTAAAACGAACCTACAAGACTGAAAATAGGGAACTGGAGATATCAATTTATAATGAAGACAACTACAAAGCAAAAAAGACACTAGTATAGATATAGAACTTACTTATGGTGAGACAGTCAAGTAGATTTTGAGATCAAACAGATTGTTTTAAATGGGGCAAAAATTAATAAATTATAGGGTAACCTCAAAGAAACTGTATACACCTTCACATCCAAATAATAAAAGAAGAAAATCAGAAATATTCAGTAAACATTAAAACAACAGCAATGAATAAAATGAAAAGAAACCCAGAAACAAAATGAACACAGTGCAGAAATTTATGTAGAACAAAGAAACTAGCAAGATCCTCCCAAAATACAGTAAAATAACAGCAATCAATTCAAATCTATTAATTATTAAACAGAATGTAAATGGATTACATGTACCAGTTAAGAGACATAGAGTATCAAAATGGATGAGAAAACAGGATACTTCAATATGCTTTCTACAAGAGACACATCTTACCCAAAGACAACAATAGACTAAAAATCAAAAGATGAAAAAAAATATATCAAGCTAATGGCAATTGAAAACAAGCAGGAGTGGCAATATTAATCTCTGATGAAATAGTCTTTAAAGCAAAACCAGCATAAGAGAAAGAGAAGGATATTATATCATGATTAAAGGGTTAATTGACTAAAAGGGCATAACCATAATAAATATCTATGCTCCCAAAGAAAGAACCTCAAAATACATAAACCAAACTCTAAATGAACTAAGGAAAGAATAGACAATTCTTCTATAATAGAAGGAGATTTTAATACACCACTGTTGATGAGGGACCAACCTAAAAAGAAACTCAACAAAGACACAGGAGAACTAAACAACACAATCAACCAACTTGACACCATAGACTTATACAGAGCACTCCACACAATAACAGCACAATATATATTCTTTTCCACTGCATAGAGAACATTCTTCAGAATAGATCATATGTTAGGCCACAAAGCAAACCTCAATAAATTTAAAAAATATATCAAAATACTACAAAGTATCTTCCTGAGTCACAATGCTACAAAATTAGAAATCAGCACTAGAAAGATCCAGGAAAAAATCAAATACATGCAAATTGAGTAACACTCTGCTGAAAAACTACCGTGTAATAGGAGAAAAAAAAAATTAAATTCCTATAATTGAACAAGAACAAAAACACAACATACCAAAACCTTTGGGACACAATAAAAGCAGGGCTCAGAGGAAAATTTATAGCAATAAAAGCACACTTCCAAATAGATGAAAGAACCAAAATCAATCCCTTGACCCAACATTTCCAACAATTAGAACAGTAGCAACAAAATAAGTCTACAGCCACCAGAAGAAAAGAAATAATAAAGGTCAGAGCAAAAATAAGTGAAATAGAAAACAGAAAAATATTAGAAATAATCAATAAGACAGTAAGTTGGTGCTTTGAAAGGATCAATAAAATCAGCAAAGCATATGTAAATCTAACAAAAGAAAAGGAGAAGATACAAATGACAGATACAAAAAACAATCTGGGTGACATCACAATACAATTAAAGGAAATAAATAGATAATAACACAATACTGAGTTAATGTGCTAGACTGCAAAGTTGGTTTGAACTGCAAGGTCAGCAGTTCAAGTTCACCAGCTGCTCCTCAGAAACACTATACAGGGTGATTATGAGTTGGAACCAACTTGCTGGCACTTAACAAAAACAACAAATGAAGAATTGTACTCTAACAAATTTGAAAATCTAGAAGAAATGAACACATCTCTAGAAACACATGACTTACCCAAGCTAACAAAGACTGTAGTATAAAACTGGAATGAACTTTCAACTTAAGAAGAAACTGATCAAATCATTAAAAGACTATCAACTAAAACAATTCTGGGCCCAGGTGACTATTATTGGTGAACTCTACCAAAATTCAGAGAGGACCAGACAATAATTCT